TGAACGTTTACCCACCTTTAAAACAGATGAAGCTCCTACAACCAGTGTTTATATGAACAACACTGAAGATGACGAGTTTCCAGCTAGTGATAGTTATAGCACTAACTTATTCAATGGTGACATTCCTGAATCTTCCGATATTAATGGACCTGAAGAAAATGAACAAAATGTTGTACCAGTCAGTGTCCAAAGAGAGCAAGAAGAAGCTAGTTTTTCCCAACTTCAAACATATCTTTCAGCTCTTTTTTCTGTTATTACAGCTCCAGTTGACTCTGTGGGCCAAGCAACATTTTTTGTCACCAGGCAACTCGTTAATTTTGGTCGAGCACTATTTGCCTTAACCACTAGTGAAACTGAACGTTCACCCACTTTTGAAACAACTGAGGTTGCTACAACCAGTGTTTCTATAATTAATTTTGAACGTGAAGAGTCTTTGAGTAATGAGATTTACAGCATTGCTCCAGCTGTGTCTGTGGGCACATAATAGTCGAGTGCCTTCTACCTTACCCACCTCTGAAATAACTGAGGTTCCTACAACCAGTGTTTCTATAAACAACTGTGGACATGAAGTGTCTCCCAACAATGAGAGTTACAGCATTGATTTATTCAATGTTGGCCTTCCTGACTCTTCAGATAACAGATCTGAAGACAATGAACAAAATGTTGCCCAAGGAATTCTTCAAGGACACGACGAAGAAACTATTGAAGAAACTATTGTTTCCAGAATTCACACAAACCTTTCAAGTTTTTATTCCTTCATTAGAATGCCAGTTGTGTCTGTGGCCCGAATAATATTTTTTGTGAACAGGCACATCTTTAATCTTTTTCGAGTGTCTTTTACCTCACCCACCAATGTTGGCCTTCCTGACTCTTCAGATAACAGATCTGAAGAGAATGAACAAAATATTGTCCAAGGAAGTCGTCAAAGAGAGGATGAAGAAACTGTTCTTTCCGCAGTTTACAGAAATCTTTCAGCCTTTTATCCCTTTATTAGAGCTCTAGTTGTGTCTGTGGGCCAAGGAGTAATTTTTCTCAGCAGGCACATCCTTAATATTTGTCTAGCACCATTTACCTTATTGAACAATCTGTTCACAGCAATTGTTCAATATGTGTTTTCCCTTGTCCAGAGAGGAATTTCAGCCCTGAATCAAACAATCACAAGATTTTTAAGTCCAATTTGTATAATAGGTTCAGTAATATGTGTGATTTTTGTAATTGTAATTTTTACTTTTATACCATTTTTCATACACTACATGGTAAATCACTAACTTAACAAACAAACAGCAAATGCTATTGCATCATTTCTCTCATAAAATTCAGTATCCTTAGCATAAAATGACATCACAATTATGCCCCCAGCCAGTCACAGCAGAAGGCTGCCCCTCCCTGAGTCTGGTTCTGCTGGAGGTTTCTTCCTATTAAAAGGGAGTTTTTCCTTCCCACCGTCGCCTTAGTGCTTGCTCATAGGGGATCGTTTGATTGCTGGGGTTTTCTCTCTAATACTGTGGGGTTTTAACCTTACAGTACAAAGAGCTTTAAAGTGCCTGTTCTAACACAGCATTATTAAATAGACCTTAAATGGCTTCAACTGAAAAAACATTACATAATAAAAATAGTAAATCAATAAATATTGGTGTGTGTTTGTTTCATTTTTCTATACCAGGATTAGTGCTAAAACTTAGTGGGTTATAATTTATGTAGCTTTTAAAAGATTATTGTTGTTCCAAATGTGACTGCTGAGTGGCCGTGGCATTGCGCACAGGATAAAACTTCTTGATTTTAGTGTCATGCAGAAGTACATTCAGGACAAAGATTGCACTTAAGTAACATCTGTGATTAGAAGACACTGGTTTGGTCTTCTTTTTCTGTGATAATTTACTTTAAAGTTTATTTTTAAGTCTTGGATCTATTTTTATGGGT